CAGAGGACACGATCATTACCTCGGAGGAAGGGTGCGGAAAAGCAGGAGCCGCCCAAGCTGTGACGTGTACCCGCCCCTTTCCTGCTTTCTCACCTATTAATCCTTTGGCACCCCCGCAAATGTGACATTCCAGCTCAGGAGATCGAACTACCCCTGGGGACAAGTTTTCGGCGATCGCACCAATTCTGCGCCTGTGGCGCGCGAGCCAAGCACTTTCGTGGTTTACCAAGATTCCTAAAATACTAGTTCCTGATGAATGATCTTCCCGGGAAGAAAACTTGACAAACCTTCACAAATGTACGGGTTTTGAGGGCGAATAGTGTCCACTTTTAGGAAGCATTTCTAATGTTAAAGGATTTGTCGTCTATTAAGGTGATCACCCAGACGTTTTCTACCAATGTCCGTCACCAAATCGCTGAACCATGATCGTGGGTTAAGGCTTATTGGTCGTTACAGTCTTCAAAGACCTACTGACTCAATGTTTTCAGAGCCGACAGAACATCGTGATCGGTTATTCATCGGCGAAATCAGACGGGATTGGGAGCCAAAAAGGGTGGAGGTACAGAAGACGCGGATCTTTCTTCCCATGTACCAATTATTTGTAGAACTCTGCACTGATTGTAAGTGATTTCAGTCGTTCCTTCGTGGAATCCTCCCAGAAGCAACAACTATTGATGCCTATGCAGAAGGCAGTCCATTGGTACGGAATCGTGGCTTTGCATTCGTCAGTTTCGCCGATGTAGGAGCAGCAGTACGAGCAAAGGAGAAACTACTGAGTTCCCCAGTCAAGGTTAGTCTTCTGAATAGACTGCATCCTAGAAAAGGATAGTGACCGCGTCTGCAAAACTTTCCTCGCCAAGATAGTCCCGAAACGTCCCCTTGTACATGAGGGGCGTTTTTACCCACTTTCTTTGCCCCTTGTCCAAAACCCTCATCTCACACTCACTGCTGAAAAGGTGTGGGATCGAATCTCCACACCTTTTCAACCAACAGAACCCCATACCGACTGCTATGCCTTGCAAACTGTACTCTCATCTGGTCCTGGTCCCTGCCATGTGTGAGGTAAATGGGGACCAAACGTGTACCAGGATGAAGCTGCAGGGTAGTGATGCCTGCGTGCTGTCT